GAAGGCATAGCATTGAGATCTCCCCCCTGTCGGTGGCGGCCAGGATGCGTTCAGTGACGGACAACAACGCGGTTTCAGTAGAGTGCCGGGGGCGGAAGCCGTGCTGTGAGGATGCCAGCAGGTGATTGTGAGAGAGGTAGATGTAGAGCTGCTGATGGACAATGCGCTCAACCACTTTCATGATTACAGGAACCAGGGAAATGGGCCGGAAGTTTGCGGGGTCTGAAGGATTGCCGGATTTGAACAGAGGGTGAACTATGGAATGTTTCCATGAATCGGGGATGTCGGATTGAATTAAGCAGGTATTGATAATATGCAGGATGACGCCACCAATAGCTCGGAATCCGGCTTTCAGCATGCGAACGCAGACACTGTCGGTACCGCAAGCACCCGAGCTACGCATACTGAAAATCGTCCGCTCAAGCTCGGCAAGTGTGATTTCTCGAAGTTGAAAACTGCATGCGCCAACACGGGTAAGACGTACATTCAAATCGGTAGGTGCGTTTTGGGCTCGGATCTCGGCAGCGACACGAGGACCGACGGATACAAAGAAAGAATTTAAGTCATTGGCAGATAGGTCAGGCTGAACATCAGGACCATCCTTCTTACCGGCAACCACCGACCTGATACATTGCCAAACTTTGTTGGGGCCCCGTTCCCCGATTTCCCTCTGTAGTTCCACCCGCCGGTCGCGACGCAAAGCCGCCCGGACAGAGCGGTTAAGGGTTTTGTACTCGCTCGAGTTGCGGCCTAAATGGCGGAGCGCAGCGCGACGTTGGGACATGAGATCTCGAGTGGCGACGGAGACGGGAGGAGCAGTCGGGTTACGGATAGACACACGCTTAATTGGGGCATGGGCATCGAAAACAGGTACGAAGAAAGACAAGAAAGCATCCCACTTATCACTGACGGTTTCGGCGGAGAATACATAATCCCAGTCAACATCGAGTAAGTCATGATGCAGTGCAGGGTGATCTAAACGCTTAAAAGAGCGAGACGAGATAACAGTGGGCTTTTGACGCAGTTTCGGCACATTCACAACGACATCGATAAGTTTGTGAGGACTGAAGTGACAATATTTAACACGGGTGTCGCAAACGAGCTCACGGTTGTTAACAATACACACATCCAGGAGCGAGCCGGAGGAAAATGTTGCAGTTGTCACTAATTGATCTAATGAGTAATTTGATAGGAAGCTGCTTAGGTGTTGACGCGCGCGGAAATTAGGCTCTTTCAATAAATCACAGTTGAGGTCGCCGCAGATGACAAGCGGAACACTGGGGTAATCGATTATAACTCGTTGCAGTTGGGCCTCGAGGTCCGTGAAGTCGGCAACCAGAGCAGCCTCACTGTGTCGGGGTGGCCGATACAGGGAGCAGATAATCAGCTGCCGGCCCTGTTCAAGCTTTAGCAGCGCCCACAGTGACTCCAGGCTGCTGGCAGGGCTCCCACTGCCCGGGATCTTGAGTCGGGTTGACGTGATTTTAGCCTTGGTGATAATTGCGACACCGCCGTAACCGCTACCATCTGGGCGGTCCACACGACAAAGCGTATATCCTGGAATGACCAGGAGGCGGTTCGGGGTGGTCGAGCGCAGCCAGGTCTCAGCCAGAAGCATGACGTCGTAGTTGTGACGATTGAGCTCAAACGTCAGCTCCTGAATTTTGGGCTTCAGGCTTTGAATATTCAGGGAGCCGATGAGTAATTTGGGCGGGTCGGTCGGCCGGTTAGACTGGCGCTGAGTCTGTCGAGCGGGCCGGCCATGTGCCCCGTCCACTGGGCTGAGGGGGCGTGGCCGATTATGACGGCGGATGACATGGGCGGGAAGACTGCGCCGGATAGTCTCGGCGACTTCCCGAGCCGTGTTGTTGTTCAGCCGGTCACGCACCTCCATCAGAAATGCCAGGTCGTATGCACAGGCAGGAGCAATTTGGTCGTCCCGTCGATGGTTGATGACAGGTGTTTGGCACTCTACACGGCGAGACCCGTGAGGGGTCCCAGTGCCGGGAGCAGTCAGCTGTTCGCTGCTCCCATGTCCCCTCGCGCGCCGAGCACGCCAGCCCGCGCGACGGCCGCGCCGAGCGGGCCGCCGGGGCAGGGGACGAGGGTCGGCCGGCATTGTTGTTAGCCGGCCGCTACCGGCGTCTCGGGCGCCCGCCGGGACCCATAGGGGCTGGTCACCATGGCAACCGACGGCGGTTGGGAGGGGGAGACTTGAGCCTTGAAGGCATGCGCGGCGGAGAGAAAATAGTCCTGCAGAACTTGATGATTATCTTGAAAACGACTGCAGATAGACGCTTAAAAATTGCGCCGTTGAGTGCGTCATTAAAAAATACGTAAGTCTTTATGTAACGATGAGCTCTTCTCTTCGATAATTTTTCCGATGGCTTCACGACAGCGGCTCCAGCGACGAGCTCCGACAATTTTGAACAGCAAATAAAACCAGATACGGTTCACTCACAGGTCAGGTGATTCCAAAATAAGATGCAGGATGAGAAGTAGAACACAGAATACACAAAGTCACCAATCGCACGCGGTTTTTCCCACTCCCGGGTAGTGGTAGGGGTAAGGGTAGTGGTGGAGGCAAAAGCAGAACAGTGGCCCGGGCTGATCCCAGCGGACGAGAGGTGACCTATGTGAGCTGGCCTGACCCAAAGTGACCGGGGCTGACCCCTTTGACCCGTCTTGACCCCGTATCACCCAAATTTCATCCAACAACGCCCTCAGAACAGTTCTTTTTTAAATTATCTTCACATTTCCGTCCATATCTATGCTTCTAGACGACACATCGACATGAATCAAACACCATTCGAAAGCAAATTGGCTGGTGCCGCATTTTTTTTTCTACCACGCAGCAAAGCAAGTGGCGCAGCCGCTTGTCTTTCACTATACGAAAGAACATACATTTTTGAATATGTAGGGTGAGTTTCTAGTTAAGCAATAAATATGGCAGTTAGAAGCCTGCTAAGGGTAAGATGTCGACGGCTGAAGCGGGATCGGCGGACGCGGAAAAAGCGGCAATCACAATTTGTGTTTACACACTCATAACTCAAGTTTTTACCGGCCGATTTTCAAAATTCTTTGACCATAAGGTTGCCTGTACATTTCTTAGTCTTCTCACCAAATTTGACGCGAATCGAATATAATCAGCGGTAATGAGCGCGATGTAAAGATGGAACCGTCCCGGCCCGGCACAGCCTACAATTCAGGCGGCGCGTAACGGCTAGCGCCGGCCGCCGCGCCGCCGCGCCGCTGCGGCGGCGGGATGTTTTTTTTTATACCTAGGGGAGACCCGGGAGGTATGGGCCGGTTTTGTGAAAAGGCAATTTTCTTCCAGTGGGAAGTGGCTAGACCCAGTTTTTCACTCTATATACGTGAAATTGCCTTTCGCCTGCAAAGTGTGCCTGATATTAGGAATCCGGCATTACCCATTTTGTCTCGAGATAACTTTCAATAAATCATGCGCTTTTTCGATCCATCAAAATACACCGGGAGGTATGGGCCATGGCCCGGGAGGTATGGGCCGGTGCCATGTTTCATATTCTTTTTATGAGATATGAAATGTGAGATATCTCATTATGAAATATGAGATATCATATTCTCGATAATGAGAACAATACTCGTAGCTGGTATCTTCCTTGATCTCTCTTAGAGCCCAGGAACCGCATAAGCGGCCAACAGCTTACTTCATGGGGGTCACATGGGCACATATGTCTTTTGGTAACCTCAATCATGCTCCATGAAATAAGATAAATAATATTTTTCTGTTCGAATGAAATTTGTAGTTAAATTTTCGACCTTGCGCGACAAAAATAAAAGTTACTGAAGAGGACACTCAATGAAAGCATCATTTTATTGATTTAGGATCAATGGGGGTGGGTGGCCCGAACCTCCCGGTTAGGACGCCAGAATGTGCGTAGCATCTCAGCTCATAAACTTGCAAGAAAGCTTCAAATTGTCTGTCCAGTCTTAATTTGCATGCTTTAAACTTTATATCACCGATGGTGTGACATCATAAAGCGAGCCTGGTTCAGATTTATCACGAATTTTCTGTATGTACCGTATTTTACTCGAAGAGGGCAAAAACGCTTTATCACCGCTCATTGCCAAAGAAGACTGAGGAAAATTTTGGAAATCACGTGGGTTGTATAACGGAATGGCTGCTACCAGTTTACGCGGTCAAATGTGTAAAAATACGCAACACTTCTTCAAAACTGCGATGGCCCATACCTCCAGGGGGCCCATACCTCCCGGGTCTCCCCTACATACAACAACATCCACAAGCATCGTGGCTTTTCAGTTGAGGTGATTATGAGGTGATGCGTGACTTTACACCGCTATTAGTAGAAAAGTTGCAAACCATTTTCTTATTTCTTGCACGAGAAGATCCGCAATTCAATTCTAGACAGGTAGCCAGAATTTCACATTAATATTATGTTTGCGGCGCGAGTTATTGGCGAAAAACAGGAGGGGTGGGCGAAATCCGCCCCTCCCCCCTTCCACTGCGCGTGTTAAGCTTAAACAAAAACAAATATTTAGCGAAAACATTCAGTTAAGTTGTGGGGGCGGCGTCGCCCCCACGCCTTCAAGTTGCGGGGACGTCGCCCCCCCCCACAGCCTTCAAGTTGTGGGGGCAGTCTGCCCCCATTGCCCCCACGGTTCCCGTGTCCATGGCGGTGTTCTCTATCTTCCCATCTTCCCCTAAAAGGGCGCGGCGGCGTGGCCTATCGTTGGCACTGTGCTCCGCTTCCTCCACACCACACATCATTTGCTGTGCCCACCAATAATATACTGATTTTATGCCTTGTGCACTACTTCACTACAAGAGCAGAGTTCTAATAATCCTGAAGGCGCACGGCCATCTGGCTCAGTGCCTGTCAGTGGCATTCAGTTCGGCCGGAGTGCGGTCAGATGCCGTCCGGCGGCCGGTCTCTCGGCGGTGGCCGCTGCGGCGGTCGGCGGCCACAGCCACAGTGTGACCGTCCGTGGCCGAGCCTCACCTGGCGGTCAGACCGCGCGGACAGTCCGTGTGCACGGCGGCCTGGAACAGGATGGCCCACACCAGCCAGTAGGTGCGGAACAGCGAGAACTTGTGGTCCCGCGGCGCCACCGTCTGCCGGCGCACGAAACCAACACCAGTCAGCACACGGAGGACAACGCACATACAGCGGCTGACAGGACAGTCGCCTCATAAAAACAACAAACCGACCATGGTCAGAGTGGATTGAACTGCATGGTGCCGACGCTGGTGTCTGGCTGACCTTCATGTTGTATCCGGACGGACTGAGCCACTCGAACAGGAAGATGGTGAGCGCCGTGGCGTGAATGGCCACGAACGCCACCAGCGTCCAGGAGGCCGTGTCGAACGGCTCTGCAACAGCACACACAGTCAGACGGCTCTGCAGCGGGAGCACACAGAGTAGAACGGCTCTGAGAGGGAGCACACAGAGTGGAACAGCTCTGAGAGGGAGCACACAGAGTAGAACGGCTCTGAGAGGGAGCACACAGAGTGGAACAGCTCTGAGAGGGAGCACACAGAGTCGTCACAGAGGCCAGCCAGTTCGGTTGGACAGCAGAATTGTCACTGGGAAACTCACGGGAAACACTGAAACACGGACACATCTAACACCGGGTGAGGCAGTTACCCAGGAACGCAGTCGGCGAGATGATCCCCGTCCGCTTTGCCACCAATATCGTTGTTCCCGTCTCCAGAAATGGCACACTAAAGTCTGAAATAAAATATGATCGCGTTACACAGCAACATTTTGATAAATGGAGGTCGAAAAGTAGTAACGTTTCCTAGCAAAGTAAAAAACAAAGTTTCGCAACAGACACAACGAGGAAAAAAACCTAGGGGTTATTAGCATGATATAAATATGGCATGCTGAGGGCTCAGAAAGTGGGTGCCTACAGTTTTGTAGGCTTCCTGCAGGAAAACAACGAGCTGAGACAGCCTAAGAAAAGCGACTGATAGCATCCGAATAAATACATTCACACCTATGGTATAATTAGGTATAGAGGTAGAGGTATCACCTGTCTGTGTTTTCACGAGAAGCAGCTCGCACACATGCACAGATAGTATCTGTTACTTTTCTATGTTATGTAACCAATACCTAATTTCAATCGTGTGAGTGCTTTGGCTGAAGCCCGTGACTATGACTAGTGCTGTTTCCGTTCGGTGTAGCGGCGGAGACGTCTGCCATACCGATGACGCTCTCCCTGTCGGAGTTGATGTTGAACGACGTGATGACCATGTCGCCCTTCCTGTTCATCAGGGCGCTCACCAGTCCCGTCCAGGAGCCGTTCTGGAAGGACAGAGCACTCCGTACAGCGCCATGGACCGGACCGTAAACGCCCCACCCAGCTGTGCACACACTGTCCACTGACTTAGCGCCATCAGAGCGCATACAAACGTTAACGACCGGGAGGGTGCGCGATAGACAGACGAGATAGACTGGAGAGAGAGAGAGAGAGAGAGAGAGAGAGAGAGAGAGAGAGAGAGAGAGAGAGAGAGAGAGAGAGAGAGAGAGAGAGAGAGAGAGAGAGAGAGAGAGAATGGGCGCAGGGCTAAGTGCTTTACCTCAATGGTTCCCCATTTGCCGTCGTCCACCCGCACCAGATCGTATGTAAATATAAGGTCCTTGGCAAACTTTTCCAGCAGGTCAATGCAGAAGCCGGAGCAGCACTGGTAGAGCGATGAGTTCCTCTGAGCGACCGTTAGGTTCATGCTGCCAACAGGCAGTGAGGGGGTAACACACTGCATTATGAATCTATCCATACCGGTTCCAGAAAACTAACGTGTCTGGGACTCAGCTTCGTTTTACATAGAAAACAATTTTAACGCCTTTTTGCTTGCTTTTGTAGATTTATTATGTAATGTAAAACATATCAGTTGCGAGTTCAATGGGTTTTCGTAAGATGAATAAAAATGTCCTGTTTTAAAAGCACATGAGTGCGGTATAAATGACGAACATGTGTAATGCTGGACTGGGGTCAGCAGGTAGGTATGTCCTCGGTCCTTACCCCTCGATGTCGGCTTCTGGCGCGATCCTGCAGAGCACGCCGCGGTTGGCGCTGCACTTGCCCGTGATGGGGTCCGGCATGCCGAGAATCACGTACGGAGACTCCTCGAGGAACAGAATCTGCCGGCACGACTACTGTCAGCGGTCCCCGTACAGCCGGTCCCCGTACAGCCGGTACCCGTACAGCCGGCACCCGTACAGCCGGCACCCGTACAGCCGGTACCCGTACAGCCGGTCCCCGTACAGCCGGTCCCCGTACAGCCGGTCCCCGTACAGCCGGTACCCGTATAGCCGGTACCCGTACAGCCGGTACCCGTGCAGCCGGTGCGCGACCGCCAGCTGCTCACGCGGGAGTGACTGGCAAGTGGCAACTGGCTGTAGGAGTCCAGTTCAGCGCTACACACGGTCACCCTCTCAGCACAATGGAATCTGCCATATAGCGGACGTCCGATGTGAACGGTGGGGCGGCCGTTTGGCGGGGGGGGGGGGGCGCACCTTGAGGTGGAACTTTTCCGGCACGCCCTCTGGCGGCACGTGCGACAGGCCCGGCCAGACGATGTCCTTGATGTTGAGCTGGTCGGCCTGGTCGGCGCGCCAGGTGCCGATCTGCCGGAGAGCCGGGGCCAGCGTGAACAATGGCCGACATCGACCGGCTGCAGCAGCCATCGCCCAGGCGCGGCGACAGTGGCGGCCAGGGGCACCCCAGACCCATGGCGGGGGTGGGGGACGGCGGCCAGGGGCACCCCAGGGGCCGGGGTGGCGGCGGTCAGGGGCACCCCGGCCCCGCCTATAGGGATGAAGTAGGTGATGGGAATTATCAGAAGCTGAAAAGCTAAGCCGGTGTAGTGGCGTCCGTTGGATGTAAGTATCGGAGTGATATTCCTAGTTGCCTACAGTCCTCTATACTTAGCTGCCACTTGGATTATGCCCCCGACTATGCTGGCTTGAGTTTCACCATTTAACAACAACATACGAACATTGTTATCTCACGACAAATAATGTTTTGAATCTACATGCATCCACTATTACAAAATTTATTTAGAGGACCTCGACTGTTTGGCACTGACCTCCTCCCACTGTTGGGCACTGACCTCCTCCCACTGTTGGGCACTGACCTCCTCCCACTGTTTGGCACTGTTCCCTCGTCGCAAGTTCATGATTTTCAGCTGCGCCGACTTGACCGTGCCGTCCGAGTTGAACGCAAGGTAGTCGGGCACCTCGTCCAGCCGAAAACTCACGTTCAACAGATGTCTGCCAACATAGGAGACATTACAATTCCAATCAAGCAACCTTTGCCGGCGTACGACACAAACTTCGCAATCGCGCTCAGAGAATACATTGCCGTCTCACGCCTTATTGAGCTCTGTGGAAAAACGCAGGTGTGCGTCGCTGACAGACGTAACGATTGATAGGTGCATAAATAACATGATTCATGTTATCTATGATAGGGGGTATCCGATTTCAAGTTCTCCGGTAAGCCGGTGACCTCAGGGGCCAGGTCAAAGGTCCCAAGCAAGGGTATGTACGTATAGTTTTTTTATATAAACAGACAACTTCGCCAAGCATGGTTAACACGATAACGCAGCAATTTTGACATTATCGTGTTACCATGCTCATTCGCGTCAAATGCGACACTTCTATGATGTTGACCTGAGGTCAAAGTTAGCGCTGTTTTGTTGGCCGCACTGTTGGGTCGTATATGGGGTCGGGCCCCCATTACCGTGACCATTAGTTTCTCCGGAGTGATCGGCGCTGCCCGGGTGTCGTGTCATCACGGCGCCGAGAGCCCAGCATCGATCCCGCCACCGCCGCCGCGGCGCCGGGAAGCCCGACACGCTCCGACCGACCCCGACCCGACCCCGGCTCCGTGGGCCTCGTGCACGGAGGTAGGTACATACTTACTCGTATAATGAGAACAAGACTACATACATGAACGATTGATAGGGGAGAGTGGGGCAGGTCGGCCCGTTAAGCGAAAAATGCTCTCACGGACAAACTTGAGGTTTGTCGCTAAGTAAGCGGTTTTATTTGCCTATTCCTTTTGCCAATTGATGAATTCCACATAACCCCAGCAGATTATGTTTGTTAGGGATAATGCGCGTTTTCCTCGAACAAGTCATTTCGGGCATCTTAACCCGTGGGTGGGTAGGATGCCCACTCCGTTGCGGAAGATGCACTAAAATTTAACGGCTCACGGTTGCTTGGAACGCGTTAGAGATAAAGGGCTAATAATTGGCATAACTGAACTTTGATTCAATGAGGATCTTTTGACACCAAAAGTTTTTTATGTCAGGCTATGCTACTGAGCTGTGACGCTTTCATATGGTGGTCACGTTGCAAGGAAGCCTCTGCTTTGTCCAAAAAGTCGAAATGCTCTCAGTGCGAAGCTATCTTTCGTAGAGATGAAACTCACAGGTTGTAGCAAGCTTTCAAGCCTTCACAACCTGTAGGTAACTATCTACCTCAGATTTTCCATATGAGACACTTTATCACTGCGACCTTTGGCTTGACGTAGGGGCGCCTTTCCCCACAGGCCACAGCTACCTGGGCGTCTTACAAGTTTGCGTCCATCCACGCATAAATATGTCCAAATAAAACTGCAGTTGTAACGCAGCTCATTATGGCGTCATTTAACCCTCGCCCTGGCAGGGCATTTTTCATAACACGGCCTGGCAGGGGGGGTCGATGCGACCCCCCTCGCGATTGGCTCCTATGGCACCTAGAAGCACCAAATTTGGTAGGTAGGTGGACCCCCTGGATTTCTCGCCCCTGTGCAAATTTGGTTGCTCTAGGTTAATATCTAGGGGGGTTTTGGGGGGTATAAATGTAAAAATTTCGCTAACAACAGGTCAAAAGTTTTTTGCTTATAACTTTTGATCTAATTAAGATAGAGCAAAAAGAAAAGCACCAGTGAACTCAGCACGTCAAGGCGCGTCGAATGATATACTTCTTAGCTTGCTTAAGTGTACTTAAAGTTTTTCTTAAATTTTAAGTAAACTTAAATTGATAAATTAAGTTCAAGTTAACCAAATTGCATCATATCGCATATCATTCGATTCGGCTGATCACCAGGAACACAATGATACCACTTTTTAAGCTCTAGCGTCATTATGTGCCAAGTTATTGGCAAAAACGTCATTTGACCTCAGTTGACCTCATTTGACCTGACCCATGGATAAGTACACCAAAAAAAAGAAGCACCAAGTGACCTGCTGTTACTTACTGTGGTTTCAAAGCACAAAAGTGATAGAACGAAGCGGATATATCCAGTATTTTCCGAATTTAGTATTTTCCCATAGGCCTAACATTACGACGTAATGATCTCTAACTGACCTCAGGCCATTGACCTCAAAAAAAAACCCGAACGATATGTTTTACAATTCGGTGAACTTAGCACATCCTGAAAGTTTGAAGGAAATCATTTCAAAACTGTGGGTTGGACAGGTGCAAAAAGAAAATTGAAATTTGACCATGACCTTGTACCGGTTTTTCTGACCTGGTGACCTGACCCAAGGTCACCTGGACCTGAAATTTTCAGGTCATATGTAAAAAGGTTGCCCCATAGGCTGTGCCAAATTTGGCGGCGCTGCGCGCCGCCGTTTTTACGCTATCTTCGAAAAACCTTAGGGGGGTCGCATCGACCCCCCCCCTGCCAGGGCGAGGGTTAACCCTCGCCGGCCGAGGGGGGGGCGGGTGCCGCCCCCCCCCATAGGGTTTTTTCGCGATAGCTCCGAACACGCTGGCGATAGAGAGCTGAAACTTGGCATACCTGACCTTTGATCCAAGCCGCATCTTTTGACACCAACCGCATTTTTGGGTCAGGTCAGGTCACTGACCTATGACGTCATAAGTGAACCTCTGCACGGTCTTCAGATGTCGCAACTTCGCAACGCCCTCACTGCCAGAGGAGATATCACAGGGAAATGAAACTTGCAGGATCTAGTATCCATTATGAGTCTCACAACTTGTATATCTCGGATTTTTCCTAAAGGTCATATGAGGTCAGGTCATTTTCGTGACCTCACCATTATAAGTCAATGGGGAAAAATTCAAACTGCTATTCTGGCGCCGGGAACGATCTCCAACTATCTCAAGCACACAGAATCGTGATTTTATGCACTCCTTGCAAGGTTAGATGCGTCACTTTTGCAATGTTGACCTTGCGTGACGTCATTTATGACGTCATCAAGGTCATATTAGTTTTTCGTCAATAACTCTTGATCAAATTGAGCTAGCGAGCCGGGAAAGCCACCAATGGACTCAGGAAGACCTGCCGAATCGAATGATATGCGACATGACCCCTTTCGACCAACTTCGTGACCTGGGGGTGCTGACCTGACCTTGACCTGAGGTCAACACCCCAAGTTGACCTGACCCGGACAAAAAGTATATCATTCGACGCGCCTGAGCGAGACGAACACGATGCTGCCAAAATCGGCGCTCTGCGGCCGTTTTTTGCGAAGTTATTCACCAAAAACTGAACCGTACCTTGGGGCACTTGACCTGACCTCAGAGGTCACCGGTTGACCTAGGACCTTAAAATCGGGTACCAATCTCTGCGTCTCGTAACGGCGCACACGCTCGTGTTTTCCGCGACGCGCTAGCTCCACCAGGGGCGAAACGGCGAGGGGGGTCGTACCCGCCCCCCCCCCCCCTCGGCCGGCGCGTATGTAGAAAACCAATAGGTCCGGCGAGGGTTAAGAGGGAAATGCTGCACATGCACTTACAAAAACAAAGGAAAAGGGTACTTAGTCAATGAACTGATCGAATAATAGCTGCATTTCATCGGACAAAACAAAATACAAAACTAGCAATAAGATAGTTACTATTGCCCATCCGCTTCGCAAACTTCACTAAAGACGCATCATTTTTTATAAGTAACCAATCTCTGGTTTTTCTTGGACAATTATGAAAAATAATCATGTCTTGTTTAGGTCAGGTCGCCAGAGGCCATCAAAGGTCAAGTTTTGCCAATTTCATTCATTTAATTTCGATCCGTATCGTCGAGCTGCCAGCACATCTGAGGTGCTTTCACCGCTCTAGCATGTCCCTATCAAAAGTTATTGTCAAAAACTGAGCCTGGGGACCTTTAATGAAGTGAGATGACCTCAGGGGCACAAATAGGGGTCACAGTTGCAATTTTTAGATTCAAGATGTCATGTTTACCCACAAACCGAAGTTTGAGAGTGTTGAGAACGACGTTCGTCCAAAAGAGGCGCATTTCAATTTTCTCACATTTACTTACCTACTAAATGAGAGGTCGCAAAATGGACCTGACCCTAGGTCAAAGATATTAAAATCCCAAGATATAAATTTTATGCATACTGGCATTCTTATCAATCGCTGAAGGTTTCTAAGCGATTGGTTATTCGATGTAGCTATGGCAGGCATTGAATTTTTATTAGGTAAAGTCACTTACTTGACGTGACCTGGCGACCTGACCTTGAACGACCTTGGTCTGAAACTCTCACAATATATGCAGAAAAGATGCAGGAATTGGTGTGCGCCGCCGTTATCTTATATATATATATATATATATATATATATATATATATATATATATATATATATATATATATATATATATATATATATATATATATATATATATATAAATATATATAATATATATAAATATATATATATATATATATATATATATATATATATATATATATATATATAAATATATATAAATATATATAAATATATATAAATATATATATATATATATATATATATATATATATATATATATATATATATATATATATATATATATATATATATATATATATATATATATATATATATATATATATATATATATATATATATATATATATATATATATGTTACGGGTCATATGCTAACTTGGGCAGTATGCAAACTACCCGGGCAGTATGCAAACTACCCAACAGCCCGGGCAGTATGCATACCGCCCGGGTAGTATGCATACTACCCGACCCCTTGGGCAGTATGCATACCGCCCAAAAACTTGGGCAGTTTGCATACTGCCCGCTTCTTGTCTTGAAGTTGTGTATTCCATGTCCATTTTAAAAAGTATTAATGGCTCTATAAGTATTTGCCGGTCCCGTAGCTCAGTCGGTAGAGCGTTGGACTCCGCGTGGTGAGAGCACGCGTTTCCGGTTATAACAGTCCGGGTTCGAAGCGCGACGGGCGATTGACGTTTAATGAGCATCCTTACAGATATGACGGTTTGTGGCAGGCCGTAGCCCGCAGCCAAGCGA